AATCTACATCATATGGAATCAGGGTAGACAGAAAAGACAGAAGAAAATTTAAAAAGTAGGAGCTACCAGTGACTTCACCCTCAACCGCCTCCTATCGTTTTTTCCACTTCTGTGTCTGGTGAAAAATACGCTCTATTGTAAAATAATATTGTTATGACACGAAATGACGAAGCACAAAATGGACTTCCATGTAGGACATAACAAAATTATAATATGTCAGAATGAATTTTAAGTATGTAGATTATCAAAACAAGTTGTGAACTCGTTCCGAAACTTGAGATTGGTTTGTGAAATCAATGTGTTGCATCGTGGGGAAGTGGCGTGTTGGTAGATTAAAAGCTTTCCTTCTATGGATGCGGCGGGTCAGAAGTAAGGGTTTTGTTTGTAACTAAGTCGAGATTAGGAGTATTAAGCTTGATTTATTTGCCACGGACAAGAGAGGGGATGAGGATATTGATTGAGGGGGCCCCGGGCAAAAGTGAGGCACACATAGAAATTAAGCTTATGTAAACAATCACGCAGACTGCCAGATATTACACAAACAGAAAGAAAAGATAGACAGACAGAAGATTGATAGATAGACAGACGGACAGACAGATTGATTAACTGATTGGTCGATAGATAGATAGATAGATAGATAGATAGATAGCTAGATAGATAGATAGATAGACAGATAGATAGATAGATAGATAGATAGATAGATAGATAGATATCCCCGAGAACTATCATAACTGTTAATACGAGCAACACTATTCCAATAGTATCTGTTCACTCTTCTTTCTGCTTTTTATTCTCCAGCTGCTACTGTTGCTGCAGCTGTTTTTGCAGTTCCTCCTCTCCTCCCCCTCCCCCTCCTCCTCAAACTACTACTACTACTACTACTACTACTACTACTACTACTACTACTACTACTACTATACAGCCCCTGCGAATTCCTTTCGTAGTTTCTTTACTATCTTGACTGACGTAACTGAATCACCCAGAAAGTATCCGTTTTTGTTCCATGTATGACCACACATGGGATCATACTTGTCAACAGTGTCAATACCCCATGTTCAAACCCTAAAGGTTCAGCTTCTTTATCGCCGAGGCATTTCATGAGCACCCCCTCACTTTGCTAAGTCTTATTTTAAAGGTACTTTTGTGGGTGGTTAAATGATAAGGCTGTCGGGCTTGTAACATAAAGGTCGTGGGTTAAAACATTGACGTTGTGGTCTGGGGGATGTTACTTTACAAGATTCAACAAAAATTACTTAAACATCTTGCTCTAAGTGGAAGAATGGACAGCAAACAACTCAAGGATAGACCCACAAGAACTTACTTCGAAAATATAAACAGATTGTTGACAGGGGAAATACCAGGATTATAGGGTTAGCATATAGTAGCCTATCCGAGCGGAAAAAATTAAAGCTAACCATGATCGCGGATGTCGGTTCCAGATCTGGCACTTTATGACGATGATGGAGAAACTAACGTATGGAGGATTTGGAAAGGTTGAGAATGCAAACTGGTTTTGTATTTCTTTGTTTTGTTTTGTTCTGTTATTTTTTCTTGGGGGGAGGAGGGAGGGG